TCTCTTCACCCAAGGCCAGCTGACCACCAACTCTCACTAATCCTAAATATACCTCAGACCCACCACCCTCCCATCTCCACTCTCCCCAAGATGGACCCAACCCTCACTCACTCCCTGCAATTCCACCTCATCCCTAGCTGCCCCCCAGGACCTATTTTTGTTTAAAGTGCATCTGATCCTGTCTTTTTCCAAGGAAAAGCAACTCAAGGCCCTACAGAGCTTTTGGGAAAAACCACAAGATCCCAAAACAACCTCCGAGCCTCCATTTGATGGGCCCCCCCACAGGCGTTCTAGCTCCTCCCACCCAATGCCTCTGCACACAGCTTCCACCACATCCTCCTACCCTCCACACAGCTCGGTTGGACCGGACCTCTGGGACTTGCCACCTGCTGTCTGGATGATTCCGGCATGTTCTAGAACGTCCAGCTTCAAGGCCTTCATTTGCAAAATGAAGGTAACACCACACTCTCAGTGTGACTGCCACGCAGGATGGACAGTGCCTGGCATGGAGCGAGCCTCCACAGGCACGAGTCTTCTGCTGTGTGTGCAGGTGTGTGCTCCACCTGCCTCCCATGAATGGAGGCACACGTGGAGAGTGATCATGGGAGAAAGTATTTCCAAAGCAGCCAAAATAATCTGCCTGTTGACTTCACCTGGACATGGTGATCACAACAGAGAACAGTGACCACAGCAGCCCTCGCCAGGGCATGAGGTATAAAATGAGGCTGCACTGGTTGCCTGAACATGGGAGGCATTGCCACAGGTGGGGAGAGAGCGCAGAGGAGGCTGCCTAAGCGCGTGGTCTGATGGAAGCAGCTCCTAGGGCAGCTCTGAGGAGCCCAGCCTTAGGCATGTTCCTGCCAACTTAGAAAGTTAGCCAAGGACACCTGCAGCTGCACACAAACAGGCTGGTGACCGCTGAACATGGGCCAGGGCTATAGGGACACACATATGCTTGTGCTCTGATCATCTCCGCCGACAACAGTCACCATGTGAGACTGTGCCCTGTTCCAAGGCAATGTCCAGACCTTGGTAGGGTCCTGTAGTGGCCCACCCCCGTGGGATGAGGGACCTAGAGCTTGCATTGTACCCCATGTGCCCTCCCCAACCATCCCAACTGCCACAACCTCTTAATTTCTTAAATCGGAAGTGCAAGGCTGGGCTCATAAGGGATAAAGCCTTGTCACTTGCACAGGGCTCTCACAGCACTTGCCAAAGAGGGTGCTGGGCTACAACAGGGCCGTTGGTACATGTAGGCACAACTTCAGATGGCAACGGGGAGGAGACAGGCTCATTTGCCCAGGTGGCTTCTACAACCCTTGTTATCCCCATAGGCCTAATGATGCTGTCCTAACAGGTACTATTCACTTCATGTCTGTGGCACCAGGGACTGGGCTGGACCCACAGACATGTCATCCTTAGAGTAAACCCTCCCCATCCCGGGCCATGGCATGGGCATTTCTGTGCTAGCTCCAAGTATAGGAAGCAAACTCGAGGTGCCAATCATGCTGCCCAAGGGTAACAGTGGAAGCTGTAGGGGACGTGACCCTATGTGAGTGCCCCAGGACCGGGATGTTCTGCTCTGCCCCCAGCAATGGGTATGAACCACACCCACCAATGTCATATGTATCAGAAGGATGTGTGGGCTGGTCTTTCTGTAGCTGTGGGTGCGCGCGCGCACACACACACGCACACCCCTAATTGCACAGCCCACCCTTAGACTAGATGTAAACTTCTTTGGAATCCAGAGGGGGAAACATGCTGGAATTTATGACCGTCCTTCTAATCTGATTTCCTCTCAACTTGCTGAGTAAATGGAGCCATTTTTCTACCTGAAAATCCGATATAATCACCCTATTCAAGGCCTGGAGTTAGAGACAGTAAGTCCTCGGTGTCAGCCACACTCCTTCATAAAGCAATATCCAGTTTGCATTTATTTAAAAAGGTGAACTCGGGACATTGTGTGACGCCAAAGCCAAGGAATGCTTAAAACCAACAGGGATGCACTGAGAGGACCCCAGGGTTCAGCTCGAAAGAGCGAACATTGGCCACACCTGGGTTCACGACCACTGGAATAAGCGACCGTGCGCATGGAGAACAACGTGGAGCAGAAACGCCACCCGTGAGTTCACACTGGCGTTGAAGGATCTTAGCCAGGGCAGGAAGCAGGAGCTCTTTTTAAAAGCATACCAGCTACTCTCATTGGCCCCACTAGGGTGATAACAGCCAGGCAAGGCTCACACAAATGGAGGTCTCCCTGGGAGGGAACTTCTGCAGAAGTGGATGGCCCACAAATGCTCACGCCAGAAGTAGGGGGACCCAATGAGAAAGGGTTCTAGGCTGCAAGAGTAGACACTGGGTCATGGCAATGAAGTGTAATGTTGTTGGATGCTGTGTCCAGTGAAACACTGGGCCGGATACATCTCCACAGAGACGAGTGGGGGGCTCTGAATATCGACTATGTCCTAGGTAGCAGTGCGGCATCAACTCTGGCATTCCAAGTGTTAGGACCCAGCTCTGTAGCTTGGTAAGGAAAGCTGCTACCTGCGCCACTGGCATCCCATATGGGCACTGGTTCTAGTCTCAGCTGCTCAACTTCATATCCAGCTCCTGGCTAATGGCCTGGGAAAGCAGTGGAAGATGGCCCAAGACCTTAGGCCTCTGAATCCAACATGGGAAACCTAGAAGAAATTGTTGGTGGGACCTGGCCCTGGGTCTTATGGCTGGCTGGGGAGTGAACCAATGGATAGAAGATATCTCTTTCTCTCTCTCTCCCCACCCCTCTCTGTAACTGCATTTCAAATATATATGTATTTTTAAAGCAAAGCATTCCATGTGTGGAAACTGCTGTGGTTCTGCGGGCAAATGTGTGGTTCTGAAGGAATAAAGGCGTATGTTGTCTGAACAAACACTTCTTAGCTTCAACAAAAATAGCACCTGGATAATCTGTACCCATGGGAAGAGTAAGCGAAAGTGAAAACAAACAAAATGATAACAACGGGGACGGCCAAATGTATGGGTATACCGATGTATCCTAAAATGTACTATCTAGTGTAGCATACTGAAACATACAAATTCTGCTAATAGTTGCAAAGGAAGTAGGGGGAGGAGAGAAGGCCAAGGTGCCTTAGACCAGGCCTCCGGGGGTGGACAGGGCCAGGCAACCATGGACACAACGGCTTCTCTCCAGCCACCTGCCTTCCGCCTTCTTCTGGTAACAGTGTTGGCCCTTCTGCTTTGTCATGTGACTGTGGGGTACAGGTTGGCTCTGGAGCAGACACCTAATGCCAATTTGGCCAATCAGGGTGCTCCTGGTGGCTGCTCATCTGGGATTGGTCAGGGATGACCTGAGCTGGGCCAATCCAAATCCTTCCCGGGGACTTTCTAAGGGAGACTTCCCAGAAGGGTCAATCTCTGGGGGAGTCAGGGTCAGCCATATCTGTACCTCTGTTTCACTTGCCACAAGAGAATGAGGTCTGAGTGCAGAGGAGGCCATGGCTGAGCTGCCTGGGTGAGATGCCAGTGAGGGCTGGCCCTGGAGCAGATACGTGTTGCCAGTCTGGCCAATCGTCGGGGTTTCTAGTCTGCATATCTGTGCGAAGGAGGGAAGAGAATTGATTCCTTCCCACTGCCATGGGGTTGCTGGCAGCGCTGAGTGCCCTTACTACACAGCACACATGGTGTGCAACTTTCTCATTATCACCACAGTCCACGGCTGGATCCTGACCTAGAGGCCCCCAGGGGCCAGAGTCAGCAGTGTCCAAAGACTGAACTGGGCCCCTGTGAGCCTGCTGTGGGGCCAGGCTGCCTCTCTGTGTCTTGCCCATCCCGTACCCTGGTAGTACAGGGCACCAAGAAGTGGCTCTCCCTTCTGGGTCTTGCCAGGCGTCAAGGGCAGGCAGCACTGGGACGCCATCCACCTGCTCCTGAAGCCCACTGAGGCATGACCATGGTTCAAGGGGACACAGGGGCACTTCAGACTCTGTAAACCGCTGCCCCAGTTGGCATTGGGGCAGGTGGCTATCTGCAACGGCTCTGGGTTGCCAGCTGAGCTCAGGGTGGTCCCTCTGGTCTCCCTGCCTGCACCTGCTCCAGGTGTCCCCTGGCAGGAGGACAATGTGACCACACCAGCCAGTGTGGCCCAGAGTCTTGGGGGTGGGGTGGGGGTTATTCTCACCTCCCTTCCAAATTCTGGCCTTTCTGTTTCCTAAAGGAAAGGAATGCTACTCCCTGGAAGGACAAATCCTGCAGCAATTAAACGCCCCTCCTCTCATTTGCATTCCCTTGGTCCCTGGCGGCAGATTGGTATCAACATCCCCAGGGCAAGACAATCTTGTTTCCCCAACAAAACCGATTATGCACAACAGGCCCAGGGATTAATCACCAGCCACAGGGCTGGGAGCCAATAAAAAAGGCAGAGATGGGAGGATAAGAGGGGAGGGAAGGAGGCAGGGAAGAAGGGAGTGACAGGGCTCCACAGGGCTGGCCTGGCTTGGGGAAGCAGCTGCTGCGGCTTTGGGCTCACACTGCTAGCTCTCTCCTTCCTCTACCTTCCTGGTTGGCAGTGGACATGACCTGGAGAGGACAAAGCTGGTTGGACTCAGTGCTCTGGCATCTGGGTATCCCCACAGAGCAAAGAGAAGCCCTGGCTAAATTGACCCCCAAAGAGAAGATGACCCTCCCTTATGCACCCCAGGGTGCCGTGTGTCTGATCCCTCCTCTGGGCCCAGAGACTTCTGGGGAGTAGGTGGGAAAGAGGCTCCAGTTGCTGGGAGATAGTGGGCCCCCCTGCTCCGAGCCTTCACCTGTGGCCTGTCCACTGTGTATGGGTGGTGCTTCTGCCCAGCTCCCGGGAACCTTGTGCAGAACAGGGCCATCTCAGGGCACTGGAATGGGAGCCTGCAGCTGAGTCCTTATCTCACACCACACATACACACACCAGGACTCCATCAGGCAGGGCAGTGGCCCCAGCAGCCAGAACAGGGAGGGGTGTGACTTGCCTGTACTCCAGGGAGAACTTGGTCAGCTCCCTGTTGTTGTGCAGCCACTTGAACTCCAGCGGCCAGCTGCCCTCAGCCATGCATGTAAGTACCAGGCGATTCCCCTCCAGGTGCACCTGCGTCCTCACTGGCTCCGTCTTGAAATATGGGGGCACATCATCTGCAGGAGACAGGAGGGGTACAAAGCTTTTGGTTACAGTTGGCCTACCTACAGGCAGTGGCCAGTTTGGTACCCCAGACAGACAGGGCAGGTGCAACCAGGTCCGCTGCCCAAGGCCAGGGGGAGCTTGGGTCAGAATGAAGCCAAGAGCTGCCCACCAACCAGAGCCCTGCTGCCCTCCTCCCAGCCTACACCAGACTCCTGCCTCTGCTGCCATGCTTACACTCTGGCACCTTCTCTCTCTTACCCCTCCACATCCCTGTCCATTTCTTACCCTTGTGGATGGTGCCTTTTTGTGCCTCGGCCAAAAACATGTACATTTCATAAGTAAACAAGCAGGCAAGGTCCCCACGTCCAGCTCCCCACGGCGTAAGGGACCCTTTGAAGACATCCTGGGTGGAGTCCAGTGGCAGTTGGGAACTCAGACCCCGGATGGCTGGATCCAGTCCACGCACCCTCCGTTAATCATACTGCGCTCAGCGGTGTAGACAGACTTAAAGGCAGACATGAAGCTGCTGGTAGGGCAGGCACTGGGGATCCTGCACTTCCAGGCCCATGGTGGGGATCCCAGTGTCTGCAGACCCATTCGTGTTCACATGGGTGTGGGCACATGGCACCTTTCCTGAGACTCATGTCTCTATGGGTAGTGAAGAAGAGTTGCCTCAGTTGTCATAAACAAGAATGAGAGGACCATGGTCAAAGTGCCAGGCGCTCCTCTGCCAGGGAACTAACTTCCCCCCGGAATGTCTTTTGGTTTAAGACTGGGAAGAAGTCAAAGGAAGGAGATGATAAGGGCCAGGGTTAGGGGGGTTGTGCTGACTGACAGGTAGACAGGGATCCCCCAAGACACCATGGCTGGCAGGTCAGCTGGCAGGGGCTTGCGTGCCCAGGGACCCCCCCCCCCCCCAATACCCTAGGTTGAGCTCTGGGATCGTGGGGGGAGAGGGTGTGAAGTCCAGGAGCCTACACCTCCTTTGTCCCATAGATCCCCCAAGTCTGGGCACCCCCATCTTCGGACGGGACTGGCACTGATTTGCAGATGTGGCTGGGGTCCAAGCAGGTGTTCACAACAATCACGTGATCATCTACTCTCAGAATCCAGCCTACTGATAAGGCACCAAAGCACCCTCCCACTGTGTACCCCACTTCCACGCCCGAGGCATCCATCTCCCAAGCGCATAACTTGTGGGGTGATTTGGGGGGCCTTCCTTCAGCACCCCTTTAATCCTGCTCCCAAGCCTCCCCAGTGGCTGTCAGCTGAGGCTGCTGGGAGCTCTGAGAGCCAGTGTAGGTTCTTTCTGGTCTGAGGTTTGCTGGCATTTGCTCGTGCTCCTCTGGCTGCTTGCATGCGCATGTCTTGCCATAACTCTTAACCACCGTCATGTCAAGAATCCTGCCTTTGCAGCAGAGAAAAAGGCGCCGCCCTCTTCAGGGCACGCACTGGGGACTAACCTTCACCCCATGGTCCCTCTTCCCTTGAGGGTTCCCAGCTCACCTTCCACAGTGGGCCAGGGGAAGGGATGGGGCTGGTGGGCACCCATTTGCCAAGGAAAGCAACAGGCCGCCCCTGAGAGCAGCCAGCCCGGCCCTCAGCTTAACCACCAGGCTGGCTCCCTCTTCAAAAGCACATTCAGATTCTCTAATGGCTTTCAAGAGCCCTCTGCATGGCATTGTTAAAAACCCTATGTTCTGAGCTGTCATCGCTCATTTGTTTTGAAACAATAACATTCCCAGCCCCCGAGTGATTAAATCTCTTTCTTGGATGTTGGGCTGATACAGAGTCACAGCAGGCAGAGCAGTGGGCGTGCACACGCACACATGTATGCACACACACACGCTCTGCACGCAGACCTCCCCAGCCCTGCGCCTGGCTTACGGGTAACCGGCTCCCTGGACTGCACAGACCAGACCATTCCCCAGCTTCCCCAGATGCCAGCCTGGAGCCCGTTGGCTTCCCCTTGGATGAGTTTCTTCCAGAGGTTGTGGGAGACACTGATACTGGAAAGGAGGGAAGGAAGGGAGAGGGGATGTGACCCTGAGCAGGGCGCTCTGCACCTGTTATCACATGTCACCTCGCAGGGTGGTGTGGGAGAGACCGAGGCACCCAAGCCACTTCCTCCTGCATGTCCCTGCCCTCAGATGCAGGGCTCCTGGGAGGGAGGCTGCATCTGGAGTCACAGTTGAGGCAGGATGGCAGCCAGTCAGTGTCCCTGGATAGGCCAGCATGGGAGCTGGCAGGGGCCTGGGGCGTGTGCTGCAGGAGGGAAGGAAGGAAAAGGGGAGGGGGAAGATGCAGATGGACATCACCCTGAATATGTCTGTGTATGCATGTCCACGTGTGTACCGTGAGTGCCAGTGTGTGCCTGTGTGCATACCCGTGTGTTCAAGTGTGCACATCTGTGGGTCTAAGTGTGTTTACATCCAGGAATGGATGCTTGTGTGACAGGTGCACAGGGTAACAGAAGTCACCACTTCAGCTTCTCAAACTGCAAACTGAGAACACACATGTCACGGAGGTCACGTACTGACGTTTGGCAGCAGATTCTGACACATGCTATGCAGGCGTCACTTTTACTGCCGCTGCTCATATGTGTAGATGGGCAGATTAACCAGTGAACAGGAACCAGCAGTGCTGGAATGGTGCAGCCCTGGTAAATGCCCTCTCAGTAGGATGGGGCACCTGAGAATGTAGAATTGTGGCTAGAAGGAACAATTTCCTTAAACTTGTCCTCGTTTCCAAAATAAATACACATAGAAGATTTTTTTTTTGACTAAACAGTAGCTTTGAAGTGCACATAAAAAAAACAATGATCATGAAAGAACAGCCAAGAGAATTCTGGAGAAAAATGGCCAATAAGAGAGACTAGCATAGACACTGAAGTATATTCTAAAGCTACAACAGCTAAAACAATGTGTTCTTGTAGGAACAGGTGGATGAAGGAATCATCTACAAGTCTGTAAATAGATCTAAAGACATATGGGGATATTTATTACGTGATGGAAGTAGAATTTCAAATCAGTGAGGAAAAGATCAATTATTCAACAAACAATTTTGGAATGGCGGCAGAGCCATTTGGGGATTAAAAAATAGAGTTGAATCTCTTCCTTACGCTTTGCCTCAAAATAAATGCTGGCTGGATCAATGTTTTAAACATGCAAAGTAAAATCCTGAAAGGGCTAGAAAAAATATGCAATCTTGGCAAAGCCGAGACCTCGCCAAATGCTTTCTAAGTATACAAAACCTGGAGGCCAGGACACTGTCTCCAGCTTCTGCACGGAAAAGCAAACAACCCATCAACATGAAGCTACAGAGGACAAGCTGGGGGGCACACATTGGCACCTCTTATCACGGTTCGCAAAGAGCTAATTTCCCTGCTGTACGAAACGTTTCCCCAGATCAATAAGAGAAAGATTAGCAAACCAACAGAAAAATGGGGCAGAGGATATGAACAGTTCACAGAAAAGATTTACAAATGATGCTGGAACGCACGCAGCCACGCTCAGCCTCAAGATAAGAGAAAGGCAAGCGGAAACTCAATAAGACACCGGTTTTGTGGCGTGTTATTCTTTTTTTGTTCCCTATCGCATCGGCCAAGATGCAGTGTGATAATTAGGGTGGCCTGCCTGCCAAGCAGCCGGGATGCACGCACGTAGCTTGGTGGAGCTAGAGTTTACACACCATCTACAGAGAGCAATTTGGCACACTCGCCAGTCCTCTGTCTTCAAGGAACTAACCATCCTCAGGCACTCGGGGACGCGTGCCAGACAGGAGTGCTTCAGGGTTGCACGACTTGTAACAGCCAAGCCTTGAAAACCACCGGAACACCTGTCGCAGGGTCTCTGCATCTCTGGGGGACGTGGATGCACCCCGCCCCACAACACAGACCGCTTTAGAAAAATTGCTGAGCGCAGCTGTGCAGTGACAAGAGCAAGACACGGAAGGGAAGTGCAACCTGTCACCTTTTGTGCTGAAGTTTTCAGTTTTTCCTCAAGCATAGAACGGTACGAGGGGACTTGAGAAAATTCACGTAAAGTGGTAGAGAAAGATTTGTTTATTTTGGTGAAAATATTGTGAAATCCGGGCATCGTGTTTTCAGCGAGCACATTTCCCGTAAGCCTGTAGATCCCCTGTGTCTGTGGGTAGCGGCTCTTTCTACAAGATGACGCAAGAGCTGACCCTGCGGCTGCCGTAGGGACTGTGGGCTGGGGGGGGGGCACCTTTTCATTCTATACCTCTGTACTGCTTTTATTTAGTATTTTATTTGGTTATTTTTTATTTTATTTGAAAGACAAACAGAGCATGACAAAGAAAGATCTTCCATCTAGTGGTTCACTCACCGAATGTCCACAGCAACAGGGCTGCCCCAGGTCAAAGTCAGGAGCCTTTGGTGGGGCAGCTGGGACGCCCAAGTGGCATATGGGTGTCTTAAGTGGTGACTAGAGCCATTGGCCCACATGCACCGTCCCTGAGCTAACTTTATCCTGTGGGCTCTGGATAGGAATTGGTCATTGAAGTCAGACCTGCAGGGGTACTTTGCCTTTCAAATAAAATGAAAAACCAAATGGCCTCCAGAAGGTTCACATTTCCCGTCACGGGTCAAGGGTCACTGATTGCCATCTCCCCCTTGTTGTGTCCCCTGAATGTCCCCCATTGTTAGCCTGATTCTGGCCTCCAGGCTAAACTCTGAACTTGAACTTCTCCCCCACCAGGCAGAATAAAGTCACCTTTCTCCCTGTTGCAGCCAAGCTCCTTGTGTCTCCAGAATGGGAAAGGGAGAGGGGCTAACTTCCCATCAGCCCAGCCCTGGGAACATGCTTGCTGAGAAGACCAGTCAGGGAGTGGAGGCTGAGGGGGAAGGCCTCTGCCAGCTGTCTAATTGACCAACGTGCACCAGCTCTGCCAGGGCTACTGCGCCTGCACCAAGTCCCTGCCTGGCTCAGAAGCCTCGCCAGATCTCCGTTTCGGCAGCTCCCTCCGGAGCATCTAAGAACAGTG